AGCAATGCAATATTTCCAAACCAATGGTTAATTTTCCACAGTAAAGCTAAGACTTGTTTCGACCGCATCAACTCATTTTACTTTAAAAAACGAATATTCAATTATTTTGGCATTTGAATCTTCCTTTAAATAATTGATATTTGCCATACAACATAGCATAAGTAACTTTCATGTAATGAAGATGAAACCAAAAGCTTCTTGATAACAAAACCTTTCCTTATATTAAATCGACAGGGCGAATCAATAGCAATGGGAAATCCAAAAATTGGAAAGACTACAAGTCAAATGGCGACTGACTAGGGCAAACATGCCCGAAAGTTGATATTTTCGGAAATACAGCAACGCGGAAACTTGAAACACGCATCTTATTATTCATCTTAAGATACCAATCGTCACACAAATTTTACCTCCTAACCCAACTATTTTACCAATAATGATAAAAAAACGAATTTACAAATATGACTTTTAACACCACATGTTAATGAATCATTCTGTACACGACACACATTTTGTTATTATAAACGTAACATTCAAATTCATTTAGTATTCATTCAAAAGCAGCAAAAATAAAGGTTAATTATTATACCTATTAAGTCAAATTAGATTAGATATATCAATTAGGGCAAGAAAAAACAGGTTTGATTTTTTAATGTGTTTTAAAATGCATTTTGTCGCCAGTTTTTTGAGCGTTTGATGATGAAAATAAGTTTGAGTAATTGGTCTAATTCATTTCTTATAGCGTCTGATATCTTAATGGAGCGGATCGATTTGAGCCATCCCAAAGAGCTTTCTTGATTAAACGTTAACCACTTCCTTAACACTGGCATGTTTATCCTTATACAAAAAAAAGTTTAATCATAAGCTGTAAGCGCTTAAATTTGAATTTATTCATGGCAGATGTCTTTGTTACAGAGTCTCAGTGAAATAAATTAACAGTCCTAGTTTCCGTTTCTCCCAGTAAATTCTTCCATTATAGTAAAATCCGTCAAGAACAAAACCTCTTAATTTTTGTTGTGTTAATAGTTTACGAAAATTTTTATCATTTTAGAAACGTCTGTCAGTAATTTAGGGTGACTAGTTAAAATGTTAATAAATACCGATATTGACTGAAATTTATATGGTAAGCCAAAGAAACATTTGCACAGAGAAAAATCAAAGTTTGCTGAAAAATAATCTTGTATAGTTGCATTAAACATAAACCGTCAACTATATTCAACATCATAAAACCAATGTAAGTGTTTTTATGCTTAACTGATATGAAAACATTTTTAGCAATTGGAAATCACCTGCTAAGCACAATTAGATATGAATACGTACATCCATGTAAAGATGCCTTATATTTTGAAATATTTTTGTATGTGAAGGAAAAATCGAAAATTATAAAATTTTGATTCTGTACATGTTCATGCCCCGTCCCTGTTGGGCTGCCGTTGCTTGAAAGCCCCTCATCTTGATCGATATGAAAACAGCTGTTGGAAACCACATTGTCTACGTTTTTGATATGGAAACCTTCTAAGAAAGTTTGGAAATCGGATCGGATGAAAATAGGAATCAGCACTTCAGCAAAACATATTGGAGTTGTTGTTATGTTATTCATCAAACTAATAACTTTAACATTACTAAATACTGTGTAATTACTAATTAACATCATTAATTAATAAGTAATCTAAATAAATATTAATTGCATTGGAGGCAATAGCAAGTTCTTCACTTAATTTTTGCAAAATCACGATGCAGAGCAGTTACAAGCAAATACTTAACGTAACGTAAAGCGCTTATATTCGATGGTACCTAATACTTAATTAAATCTAAGTTAAATCTAAGCAGACTTCGACTATTCAATTAACAGTTCGGTATACCATTAAAAAGTTTTAAATCAGTGTGTCTCTTAAATTTGAAATGCCATGTAATTTTTTTAATTAATACTATACGGGTGCGCCTACGGCCTTTGTAATAAACCCCAAAAAGAGAGTGGCAAAAATTCAATCAATAATCTCGTAAAATTTACTAAATATTTATTTCAGATGTTTTTGAACATTATCCCGACACATTCTCATTTTGGAAGCCTTGATCGATGTGAAAGTTACACGATAACAACTTTCCATTGCTCAAAGTAATTCCTATTTTCATATTAGTATTTCACTTAATATGAAATGTTTTCATACTGTCCTTAACCCTATCAAAATTGATTGATTTCATTATTAATTAATTATAATTAATTAATTATTTGTTTGAAAAATTAAAAAATAATTATTTTATTCGGAATATAAAATAAGTTGTAATAAATAGACCAAAGTTCTTTCGATAACCACATCCCACACGTTGCTTTTTAAAATCCCAATTGACATTATTGAGGAATTGTACGGTTATACTTATGTCCGAATGATATTCACAGAACATTTGAATGACGAACTTTCTTCAACGAATCATGAAAGATGAAAAGATTCTAGAATTAGCAATAGCTAAAGACTCTCAAATAATAAATACGACATTTCACATTTTTTGGAAAATTGATCTATACAGTTACTACTAACACAAAAAAAAAATACAAAACCAATAAAAGGTTGTCATAATTTCGTATCATCTTGAATCAGAAGCACAATTGAAACGATCAATGAAACAAACAGGGTCAAAACGATCCAAAATATTTTTATAAAAACCTTACAGGATCTATATGTTGTGCCCATTCTGCATGCTCTCTTTAATTTCAATGCATAGAAACAATTAATAGAAAATCGAATTCATAAACTTGAAAAACATGAAGCTACTAATAATTGATAACAAATAAATAATTTACAGATAGAGCTGTCTACTGCAAAATCGGTTATTTTATTTTGAAATTGCATATTATTGAAAATCTGCCAGACAAAAAAAATCAAGTTTCCCGGACAGACATCAAGTGGGTCAATAAACCGGGAGGGACACACCCTTAAAATACGAGCTTAAGGGAAATACGGGATTTAATTTCTAGTATACCTAACTGATCATAATTTTTCCAATGAATAAACTGGTAAACTATTGAAATTACGTAATGGTTACAAATATTTTCAAGGGCGGTTTTGCTGATAGGATAGACTATAAAAATATATTTGAAAATGGCGTTTCAGTGCCTTTCTGGCGCTATATGTGTAACTTGAGCGTATGCGTTTAGGAGCAAAAACACAACAACGCGCATGAAAACCATAGGCGTTCTACGATTAATGTTAAAATAAATTTTAATTGATATATCGAGTCACGTAATAAATTAATGTACCTACTTAATTATAGCGCATACTCAAAATAAAAAACCTATAAATTAAGGATCTGGTTGCAATTAACCGAACATAATTTATCAATATTACACCATATAAAATCATATAAAAAATTTCATCAACAGGTTGATTACATCTTTGAACGGAAAATGTTCGTTACATATACTAAAACTCATTGTAGCTTCTGACTATAAGTGCGATTTTGCCAAAAATTATAGATAGCCAAATTCAAAAAATAAATGAAGATTTTTTTGATAGTGTCTGAAAATCCCTTTAACGAATAAAGAATTTATAAGTTTTAAAACTCAAGTCTGCTAAAAAATACGAAAAACATGTTTCTCTTGATACCCTAGTGGAAAGCGCATACTTTCGCCACTATTTTCGATGGCGAAAGCTCCTCTTTTACAAATTACAAATTTTATTCATCCCGTATGGAAACTAATAACTTTCGCCACGCACGCTGACTTTTTGCCAACATTTTGAAAGTTTTTTTTTCTGAGCCTCATACTTTCTCGGCTAGTTTCCACCGAGGATCAAGAAAAATGCATGTACAAAAAATGTGCATGACGTTAATGTAAAAATGCCAATTTCAAACAGTAGCGGAACTTCGACTTTCATCTCTTGTACCGCAATATATTATTTCCGTTCTTAAATGTTTTGCGAAAAAAATAATATTAATAGAATATAATGGGCAAAATCTGAGATACACGATGGAATAAATCAGGGAATCATGCAAACATGCACAATTTTATTTCATAATTTCGACAAGAAAGCACAATAAAGTACCCAAACGATCCAATTTCTAGAAATAGCTAAATAAAATAATAAATTGACAGGGTCGCTTTTGTTCTTCTGCAATATTATTATACACGTATGTTGTCACTATTAGAAAGAATAATAAATATAAATAAAAAAATAATCTCACGGATTTTTATCTATATTTAGGATTTTAGTTATCACATCAATGGAGACACACTGTCTAGATGACTATATACAAAGTCATTCAGAAATACATCATTCCTCAGTAAGAGTTGTATGGAAGTATCTGTAGTATTTTTTGGTAAGAATTGAAGGCTTCAAAATTAAATTTCTGAAGTTTCCAAAAAAATTATTAATATGTACATTTCATAGCGTGTACTCACAGAACTGCTCAACTTTGCCGCATCAGGTTGTTTCATTGTGTCCCTGAATCTGCACAGTTGGATGTTAAATAGGAGAATTGAGTGTTGAAATATGAGAAGTCGATATAAAGGTATTCGGAGTTCCTTCAAAAGTTCGAAATCAAGGAATCTCTGTCCTCGACCAATTGAGCAACAAAGTATCGTCATAGAAGCTAATCTTGCTGCATCTGTGGCGTTACTATACATTTTAAGTTTTGAAAAGCACGATGTAAAATCCATTCACAAATAAGTTGTACTGCTGCCATATTTGTGACAAAATATTTATGTAGATGCATGATTGCCTCTGCGCTTCTTTTTAAATTAATTAAATTAATTTTAAACAAAATTTGGCCATGTTCGGCTAGATCTAGACTTATCTCCAAAGATATTATATTCGATTACTTTAAAAAATTGTTTAATAGGCAAGTTTAAATAGCACCTTGAAGAGCTAATTTATTCGAGAAATCCTCTGAAATTTTGTTTGAAGCATTTTTCCGCACCACGTAAGCACCTACGCTCCAAAACAATGCTGATTTTGTATCACCCAATTTATTCAAAGCATTTTGAGTGGTATAAATCCTATACAATACAATATTCAATTAATAGAAATGACAGATAAAATATGTAAGCTAAGACATATTTAATAATAATAAATATATAAACAAATAAAAATAGGTTGATGAATAAGTCATAATTTTGTTTGTTAGCGATATCCATAATCCAACCCCCATAAAATATGCTGATAAGTTAATATTAGCGTTTGTATTGTAATAATTTGATAATACTATCGATTAACAATAGTTGCATTTCAAGGGCTGACTTTTAACATCAATTATTTGCACTTGACTGGATAAAATGCCGTAGAATCGTCTTAACCCGTTATACATATACTCTCACTTGACGTCACAGCCGACCACCACGTACTATGAACATATAAACATTTCAAGACGCTCATCCCTAACTTCAACTACTACTTTTCCAGATGGCGTCGTAGTAGCGAAGATTAAAGATAAACGTAGCATTTGAATAACATAACCTAATCTAATAATCAGTTTTGTTTATACCGCCACAAATATACCGCTTTTCATGAAAACAAAGATCTAAAGTGTCGGTATTAGTATTTGTTATCGTGTACTAAGGGACATACGTTGTGAAAAATGAGTGGACCACACCAGGATCAAAACAGCAAAGCTGAAGTCCCCAAAAATGAACCAATTGTGGAATATGTAATAGAGGACTCATCGGAGTAAGTCTGTCATGGATTAATAATAATTAACTATTGGACTGTTCTTAATTGGAATTATTCTTTTTTTAGTGAAGATGAATCTTCAAATCTCAAAGTTGGTCTTTTACCAGCAGCATTAGAAGCGATTAAACCAAAATCAGCTAGAAACAAACTAGAAAACAAACCTACAATTTGCAGCTTACTGATAGGGGACCTTTCTCTCAATTTAAAACCACAAATGTATAAAGTGAGTACACCCAGAATTTTAAATTGGAACGAAAACTAATATTTTATGGTTTTTCAGGGGAAAATGTTTGGATATACTGAAGGAATTGGCTCATTACACCAAACAAAGAAGCTAGCAAGCAAAGCTGTGATTTTTATGGTAACAAGTTACATAAAAAAAAATATTTTTTTGCTTTTAAATTAAATAATAATTTAATAAATAATAATTTTTTGCTAAAATTCGCTGTTTCATGTATTCCAAATCTTCATGTTAAACCCTGTAAAGTGTTGAATAATTCTTGATTTAATTAACTGATTAATCATTAATCTCGCTAATGGAAACAGCAGAATATTGTTACACACTCGCATCTTAATCCCTGCATATTCATGAAATTTTACATATTTCATATTCAACTGCAAATATTTCTACGAAATTTATATTTTGGTCTCAACTAACCTGGTCAATTAAATAAAAAGTCGGGAACTATTGAAATAAATTGGAGCAAATACAAATGCAAAATATTAGCGAGACAAGTAGCTGATGATCGGTCAACCGTTGGTAATTTAGTAAACGACTTAGATGTTTCGGACGTTCTTTCAGTTAACTTCAAACAAATTAATAATTGCTGGCAAAGTACAAGGAGGTAGCCATAGCCATAGCTAAAGAAAGACATGAATAAAATAGGATTAACTGTGGATTATTTAAGATTTTGAAAGTTGAAATGAACTGAAAGTATGTTGAAGAAACTAGAACATATTCATCTTCCTCCTGCAAGTTGTATTCATGCTGATCTATGTCATTTTATTTGTTTATTAAACATTTTGGCCAATTTCAATATTTTAGGTAGTATCACATAATGAGAACTGGAAAATTCCCATAGGAATATATTTTATACATAATCCAAATATTAAACACTTTGCGGATACAATAGAAGAAGCTTTGACAGCATTGGATGCCATTGGAGTTGAAATAATTTCGATCACATTAAACTGCATCAGTCCTCACTTGAACTTTGCTTTAGCAGAACAATTAGGTAATTGTTTACGAATTAATATATGCTTTTATATGTATTGCTTTGCTAAAATAGTGGTAAAATTCTGGAAGTATGCAAAAGGAGGAAATATACCTATAATACCACCGATAGGCTCAAATGAGAAACACTTAAACATATTATAGTTTATTGGTTCCTATATCACTATTCGCGACATTTTGGCGTATGTATATTTAGCCACCTTTAAAAGTTTTGCACCCTCCCTGTTTTTACTTTTTTTTTACTTTAAACATTTAATTTATACAAAATTGTTTCATTCGCAAGAAAACCCACTTGTTTACAAGTAAACGAAATGATGAACTTTCGAAAAAAAATTGTTTGTCCTTTTAGAATTGTTGTTGTAAAAATTGCTGTAAAAATTTAGCCCATTTTTGGGTTAGTAGTAGCGCCAAGAGCTAGAAAGTTTTCTTTAATTTAAAACTATCCAAATAACTAGGGGGTACAAAACTTTTAAATGCGAGTGTATTTTCACAAAGTCGAATTAATTAATACGCCTTTATGTTTAAATATATTTTTCCAAAATATGTAACCTGGTAAAATGAATAGATATATTGAGCAACGCTGATCTCTGAGCTAAATAAAAATATTTATTATTTAGAAATACTGTAACATTTACAGGTGCTGAGATTGATCCTTCGAAGCCAATAAAATATTTGAAACCATATTTTATTCAAACTGGTACCGTCAATCTGATTTACATCTTATACGATTTGGATTCCATTTTATGTAGGTAGTTTTTGATGAAAATATGAAAAATCTATTGATTTCAAATTTGCAGTGTTTTTAAAAAGGTTCTGGGCAGTAGAAAGAGTGCTAAGTTATAACGGTCAAGTTTTGGGCTTCTCATTCTGTTCACGTGTAAAAACAATCGAAGAGACAGACTTTTGTGTCAAAAAGAATCAGACTGACTGGAGAATTATCAAAAAAAGGGTAACTGAACGGGTATAGCATATACCTTACGGGTATAGCATATACCTTACGGGTATAGCATGTAATGTGTATTATTAACAAGACATCTTATTTTTATTAGTATTGTTATTATAACCCTAACTCTTATTATTATTATTATAAACCTCACTTTTTAGTTAGAATATGATATTGAGACTATAGGAAAAACATTAGCAGATGCAATGGAATACTTAAAGGATGAAAATCATCCCGAATTTACCGAATGTGGTCCAGTAATAAAATTCATTAGAGTACTAGACGTTATCGCTCAAATTGCTAGAGTAAGTAGAACATGTGACCTTTATTCAACTTTAGTAAGCATACTTGAATACTACTACTTTCTATCCATTGAAATTTTGTTGACAGTATTTTGTAATGCTTGCGATGCATTATAATTTTAATAATCAAAAGTATTGCGAACAGAGGCCAGCCAGATCTTTGTAAACGTTCCGATTCGTTGTTCCGCCTCTCCCGTCAATTTGCAACCGTCTTATATTAAGGAATATTTAAACTGCGAAATTTTTATGACCTTTCTTTCTCGGCGGTACAAATCTTTGAATATTTATGCCCCGTTTTTGTGTGTTGTTGTGTCGTTTTGTTCGATCTGGCGACTTCTTCCAAATGTTTTCATTATATTGTGTTGTATATTATTAAAAGTGTTGCTATTCTGTAATGGAAGTAACTAAAACCTTATTGAGAAGGTTATTAATTAACCTATTATGCCGGAGACGCGCTACATGACTTAAGCGCTTAATTGATATTAGATTTAATCAGAGTATAATATATATGATATCAAATAAGCTTTCCTGGAAATTCATCTAAAATTATATTTGCTCATTTAATTTACAGGTTAATGGTTCAGCTGATGGAATTATTCCCAACATTTCCAGGTCAAACGAGGAGGTTTGGAAACCTCTCATTTTAAACTTAATTCGTTATGTGAAGGGTCTAAAGCATCACACTGAAGATACGCCAAAACATTTATCGTTGTTCAAAATATACACAACAGGTAATATTGAATCTGATAATATGTATAGAATTTTTACTCATACATATGTTTCAGGCCTTATAGTTTATTTCACTTCCCTACTGAAGTTATATGAAAAGTATGTCAACTATTATGACCAACGGTTGCCTTTTCTATGGCCATCAAAATTTGCTTTAAAACATATTGCGCTGGATATTTTTACAAATAAGTAAGTTTAAACTATTCATTTTTGTCATTTCATTCATTAACATTTTTCATTTTTATTCATTAACATCTTCTACTACGCGAAGATTAGTATACATCTCATAAGTGCACGTTACTTGTTTAGATGCAAAAATTTGTGTATACCTACTGTTCAATATAAAAAATACATTTCATATCAGCATGGTTTAAAATACAACACTATTTTTAAGATGGTAATTGCTGGAGTATTCGAGGCGTTTGTAGGGGTCGCCAAGTCGAAATTTTTAAAACAGAAGTTTGCTTATTTCCAAGCAAATTTTTTATAAAATTACTTCAAGTAGCTGATTTGCGAATTGGAAATTACAATCGACTATCTGAATTGTTTGATTCATTAATAACAAATTCGCGCCTATTAAATTTACTGAGTGGTTTCGTCGCCCATATTCCCATACTCGTTAAATCAAAATTATGTTTAAAAAGTCTTATTGTCAAATATTTTCTTTTATTATGTTTCAGGCCAGACTCTGCTTTGTCCGTATTCAAGATAGTGGAAGCCAAATCCAAAAAGCTAATTTTTTCAGATTTTTGATAATATATTTTTGCTATATATACAGGCTGTTCCATCAATATGAAATCGTATGATTGCGTGTAAACTGCTGGGCGGACAGAAAATAAAAACACCCTTTTTGATTTTGTTGTCTCATAAGCTAACATTATCTTCAAATATACATGGAAGTTCATGCCTTCATTTGTAAATTTTGCATTAAATATGCATTCGCTTTCTTTATTCGAGATAGCAATTTTTTTATTATTCAGTTTTTAGAGGAACAAATGTTTGTTGAATTTGAATTATTTTGCTGAAAATGAAATTATCAAATTTAAAATATTTCAAATGACTAAAGTTTTTTTTACTTCAATTTATTTGACATTTTATACTGTGTCTTTAGATATATTTGTCTTATTCCCATTTAATCAATCAAAATATTCGAACTTTGTTTTTAACGAAAATTTAAAGTAATCTAAGAGCCGCAGAAAAAATTTCAAGTTACGAATTGAATTATTTTTTGTAAAACCATTGAATGCCTGTCAACGATTTGAGCAACCAGAATACAGAAATGAAGAGAAAATTTGGGTGTGGTGTGAATATTTGAGTGTAGTGGTTTTATCAGACTAATACCCATCATCCATTTAGACGCCATCAAACTATTTCATACTAATAAGTATCGTACAATTATGCATTTAGTACTAATGTTACCTGAAAAATTATTCTGTTGACAAACAATTACTCGTTGATTAAACTTAATAAATTGAAGAAAGGTAATGTCTTTTTATTTGCTTACCCGTAAAAAAATTTAATCGGAAATTACAAAAAAAATGGTAGTTTTTACAGATTAATGACGAAAAAAGAGAGGTAGGCATGTATAGTAGTTGTAACCAGCCACGAAAGTAATATACCGACCAACTCTGGATCATTGTAATTGCAATTCTAACAAAATAACGGCATTAAGTATAGCAGAGGTGAGCGAAAATAAATTTAAGTGCAACTTGCAATTTTAAATCTTCTAATTCTAATATTCATTGGCTTTTATATAATATTGTCGGTGAATATTCCCATTTTTGAATTGGAAAGGAATAACATCCTATTTGTAACAGCATTTATTAAAGATTTAAAAAAATTATTACAATAAAAAATGCTCCCTTGCCGTAGCTCAGTGTTTTTTTTATAAAATGAAATTTCAGACCATCAATTAGCTATGTTGATAGAAAGTGATATTTTTGAAGCTGAGCACACTTTTGTGAGAAAAATAGGATGTTACAATTTTGAAACGCTGCATTGCTAACCCTATCGTTAGATCAAGAGCTTTAGAAAAGCAGTCAAATTTCCAGAATAAGCAATTTCCGGATCGTACACGTTTAAATCAGACACTCTGAATAAGGATGTAGGTTTAATATTCAATTCAGGACGACTGAAGATACTACTAACAGAAACGTTAACAGAACGAAACGAAAAAACAGTGGACGCCCTAAAAAAGATTATACTTTAACATTGTCAACCACTTTTAAACAGCTTAATCTCTATTTCTGGTATAAGACGTGCCATTTTATTTAATTTGTATCGATTTTTTCGCAGTTCAGAAGGCGACGAGTTTTCGAGCTATATACATTTTTCGAAAGAACTTCTCATTATCTGCCACGAACAATTGTAAATATAGTCTACTATTAACAGAAATAATGAAGAAATTTCTTCAAAAATATTGAAAAATCATGATTTAAATACTTTTTTCGCAGTTTTAAGCGGTTTAATGGTAAAGAAACCACCAAGTTCAGAAAGTAAAAAGATCAAGACGTGGAAGATAAATATAAGGATAGTTTTTTTCGATACATGTACATAACTCGAAAACTAGTCTTCTGAACGTAAAAATCATGCTTATTCAACACCAAAAAGTACATATTTTTACAGGTCTGAAGCTAAATTAAATTATTTATGCACGAGAAATAAATTAATTACAGAAAAATAGATTTTCGCCATTTTGACGGCTAATTTGATAAGTTTTAGATTTTTTTAATTATCTACAACTCGGCCATTGAACGTTTTCCGCTAGTAGGTCACGTTCCGCCGCAAATAGCAAAAAACCGTTTCCAACCCCTAAACTGCATCCCCATTTCACAATTTCCAGTGTTTTCTTCTTAACATTTAATTTTTTCTTAAAGTTGGAACCTCAACAATATTTTGCACCCGGTCGTTAACTGTTAATATTTTTTTCGAAAAAAAAACATGCCTATGAGGATATGGCACAAGAATATTTTATTTAAAAAATTCCGATGAATATCGAGCGAAATCGCATTAAACTAAACTGTAATTTTTTAAATGTTAGCCATTAAACGAATACATGAGGCTCACTAAATCGCTTTGTTTTATTACTATAACACAATATCATATATATTTGGTGGTTTGAAAGCTATAAACAGAAAGCGAAGGAAAAACCATTAAAGCTCCTGAAACTTAAAAGTCTGTAGCTACTAGCTACAGTCTAAATCATGCATAAATTCACCTTCTCGTATGCCTGCTAATATGCGACAACCTGTATAAACATATATGCATATAAATGTGGCAATTACAAGTTCAAGTTCAAAGTCAAAACGAGCTTCACTTTAAAAATGAAAATAAATAAAACGAAACACTTACATTCGGTTAGTGCTACATCAATAGTGGACTCCATCTTTTATCTAAAATAAAAAACAGATACCTTTTAGATAACAAGATAAGTATACTGATGTTCATCTGGTTTTCGAAGTTCCTTTATGTTAAGCCAAAGATCGAAATCGCTGCTGCAAATAGTGCCAATAGCAATCGATTAGAGTTCTTTGGACTTAGTAGGTAGATTCTCATGTAAATATGTTATATGTAGGTATGTAAGTAGAACAAAGAGAGAATAAGTATGCACTTACAATTTTTATCTATGTATGTAGATATATTTATCTCAGTAAGAACGAAGATATAGTCAATAACCAGTTTGAAATGTTCTTTCTTAAGTCAAACGGTCAATAAGCACGGCGAATGTGGAAATATTAACAAACCAGAAATTTGAAAAAAATTATGATTTATTTGTCAATAAAGGAACCCCAACTGTCAGTTTATAATCAAATATAAGGCAGTTGCTTGCAGAAAGACAATAAATCGTAAAAGACTCACCTCCTGGGACGAACGGTTTGAAGGAAAATCAAAATCTCACTAAATAAAAAGCTAAGGAAAATCGTAAATGAACCACTTCACCTTCCAGTTGCAGCAAGTATCACAATCCAACAATAAGAATGGACGTTTATAAACATCTGAACTGGTATTCGTTTAGCACAATTATCTGGAGTCAAGCTGTCTATCTCTCTTGCACAGCTGAGATTTTGCGGATACTTGCGGATACAAGGAGCAATGAAAACGGTCAGATCGGAACGACCAGCGAGCTAAAACGGGATTGGGTGAAATATTTTAAATTATTCCACTTTATTGGTTGGAAAACGTTCGACTACAAAGGTGCTAAATTTAAACTTTCAATCAAAGCTATGTACACTTTGATTCTTATTTTATCAAGTACCATATGTGTCTGTTTTAGTTATATTATTCACTACTATATTTAGAATAATGGTACACGTCAAGTATTTACAGAATACACTTTATCTGTAATTTTACTGTAATAAAAGAGCTGCAAAGCAACATTAATTGATGCTAAAAATAGCTTTCAATGCAGAGTTATGGAATTATCTTCAAAATCATGTGTTTGAAATATTAGCTTATTCATATAGGTAGACATTTTCACAAAAGCATTTAAATTCGGTTATATGAAAAGCCTTTTAGTAATAAATGTCGCAAATCAGTTCAACTTTTCTCTAATTAAAAACGTTTGATCAATGACATTTAATTAACGTTCGCTAGTGTTTGTCCCAATCTATTGAAAGTCGTTGGAACAATAAATAAATATACCATAAGAATAAGCCAACACACAACGCGCCGAGACCGTTTTAGGTGGGCGAAAACTGGATGTTGCCTTTTAAAGAACAAACCATTCTTCATTAAATTCATTTCTTTGACCTCAACTTTTGGTGTCCTTGTTTTTTTATTCAACGGTTTTCTTAATCACCAAGAGAATTCGTTTGCCTCTAACAAAAACAGGTGATTCATGCCGATGTTTGCACTTTAAAATCAATAGTGCGTTACAAGGATTTTATTAGATATATACATTAGGAAATATCAAGAGCATCTATTTTATGTATATTGGGGTGCATGCCTTAGGGGATCAATGAAAATAGTAAATACTCATTTTTGTCAGCCAATACAACCGCCTATATGCGACATAGTAAATAATGTATTTAACTTGGGTTTTACATTGCGATTTGAAAAGTGCGCCAATTTTTACTTTCGCTGCAACCTTCAAACCTGTTCATAACCGACGTCCGAATCGAGATTGTGATATACAGGGTGATTCAAAAATACGCACAAGTTTTATAAAAACATTAGGAGAAGAAAGTGTCTATCATTCGGGAAGAATTTGGTCTCCCAGATATGCAACAATTAATCTAAGCGTAGGGCATAGATAAAATAATTCATCATTTTAGGAGAAAAAAAAATTGTGGGAAATGCACTTTTAGCCCAGGGTCTTTGGTTTTAGCGTTTTTCATTAATTTCTCTTCAGAATTTCAAAACTGCCTATGAGAACAGTTGAACAGGAGCTAGGGGAGACATTGACGAACTAATTACAAAATTATTTCAATTTTGTCTGGAAGTTTCCAACAAGTAAATGATGAAATTACGCAAAATGCAATGCAGAATACTTTGCCATTTGAGCAGTATTGCTATCGCATGTTCAAGACTTTCCAATACCGATAGAGGTAGCGATAAAACCTTATTCATGTAAAGCGTTCAAAATTTTAAGGACAATTTTAATGCATAGGAATATGCAGGGCGACCCATTTAAGATAAGCGACTTCTAACGTCTACTTCCGATATAACCGGAAATGCCACTTAAAAAACATTTTAGATGTATACGGTACATATACAATATTTGTGGATAGATTTCATAAAAGTGTAACTTAACGTTTCACGCTTAATTTTCTAAAAAAAAAATGTAGTCAGTGCATTCCTTAACATGTCAATTTTTTTATCTTAAGAATTATTTAGTGAAAACCATTTGCCTAAAGCAAAAATTTTACAAAAAAATGTATAGATACATAGTATATAACAATGTAAAAAACAAGTTTAATATGTGACGATATTGTCACGAATGCTATGTTCATTGTTTGACATGAATACATATTTAAATAGGATGATATGAATAAATAAATAGGCCTAAATGTTCAAAAATTAGTAAAAAATTGATTGTTGCTATAAAGTAGCTGCTGAAGGTGTGTTTCCATTTCTTGAGGTTGCTGTAGCTGCGGCATTTAAAGTCGCGTTTATACTCGCTGTGGCACTTGAAGTTAAGGCTCGGCTGGCAAGAATTAAACAGAATTAAAGTTTCTCATTTTTTAAATAATATTCAAATTATGATCATGGATGCAGTTGCAAATACGGATTTATGGAACTTGCATTAGAATGTCAAGTTATCTGTATAAGTTCTTGTGAGAAAGATTCCTCACTGGAGTTGCTCTGAGTGTTTAAACGAACGTTTTTCAGTGCATTTTGAAATTTCATTTTTGATTAGAAGACAATTTTTGTATCATTTTGTTTGGCACTRTTCTCGGGCCAAAAAAGGATGGCAGGCTAGAAATAATCTGTTTGCAGTTGTGGCTTTTGTTCTTTTGGTGACAAGTTTATTAAAAAGCCTGAAAGTCTTTCGCTCTGCCTTTTCGCTCCGCCTTGATTTGTTTTGAAAAATAGTGGATTATATTCAATTCAGCCTTCAACTTGCTTATTATTGCTTAACGTTTCTTAGCTAGCGGAAAACAGAATCTTTTTTGTCAAATATTTATCAAATAAATTTAAAATAGTCAATCAAGCAATTGACCTTTTTTGTTCATCATGCCGGTTCTACGGCAGGAATATGCTGAAATATTCAGAAATTAATTCACCTGAGGTGGTTTGGAGATTTGCTTTTTTTAGTTGGATCATTTTGAAATCATTTTTGCTTCGCTTTACGAGCATCTCGTCTTCGCTGAAATATTATGTCTACTTTAAAGTAACAGAAAGAAATACTTTGGCGACAACCACAACACATTTTTGAACCGAAAAAATCGGAACCGGAATCTAAATTTTAAATTTTGCCTTAGACCGAAACCGAAACAGTTATTTCGATACGGTCCGGGTCCTTGCTCAAATTAACGTCTTGCTAATGAACTCATGCAACATCCCTTGGCTGTTTTGGATGCTGGATGCATGTAGAAGATGAAGCTACCACCTAACCAACTCAAGTCAACATTCGACAGCAAATTGACAGTTTCATATTTATAAGCGGTTTTTCTGAACATTTTTTTACTGTTTGAAAACTGTGCTTGTTTAGAAGATAAAAATATTGGTACCATTAGGAGATATGATATAAATCGCAAAACATGTCAAAAGTTGGTATTTTACAAGCGTAAACAAGAGATCGATAGTTATATTTTTCCGTGATTTTTGCAGGACATTCGGTCGTTTTTCACTGTGCTTTCAAAAAAGCCTTCTGCTGCTTCTTCATCAAATACGAATCAAGTTAAAAGGCCATCAGTTTTACTAGACTCTGATGATGATGATGTTATAAAGGGTACACCAGAAAAAGCAGCAAAAGTTCGGAAGGCTAAACGTAAAGTTAAAGTGTTGAGCTCTGATTCGGAAGACGATGGCAGATCGAAGAAAAATGCGTCTTTGAAAAAGCAGAAAGTCACTGACACTAAACAAGAAAATACTACAAAACCCCAATTAAAGCCAATCTCTATTGATAGTCTTAACCAACCTATTAAACAAACTGAGGTAAAGTGTAATCTCACTGAAGACATAGAAATTGGAAAAAAGCCACAACATGCTTCACAACCAAAGAAGGAGAAACGCAAAAAGCCTAAACATGTTGAACTTGGTAAGAGTATGTCTATTAAACTATTAAAGCTGAACATTTAGTTCTTCAGCTCATAGACAAGTACTTAGGTACATCAGGCTTGATTAGATTTTTACAGTAAAATGAAATACCTTTATTTTGCTCTGGTAGGTTTAATTAAATAAATACCCAGCAATTTAAGTATTGCTCTAAATCAAGAAGAATATTTTTATATTATTTTATGTTTTGGAATATAAAAAAGTGAGGAATTACTCAAAAGCTATTTAATCGGTTAAGTATTCTTATCATATTTCCATTGTCTGATAAACGTTTTTGATTCAATTTGATAAACGCATTATTTTGGTTGACCCTCTTCATACCAAATTGAACTTTTTCACTCTCTTTTCATCCGAAATTTGTCTCATGCATTTAAATTAGATCTAATGATGCTATTCCAGACGAACGGAACGAAGTGCAGATGATGAAGTCGTTTAAAGTTAAACGGAAAAAATCTATACGGCTTATCAGAATTTTGGTTAAAACAAACAGAAATTTGCGGAACTCGATATGGGGCCATTTTCATTCTTTCTCTGGGCTCTCAATGATACAAGGAGAGTCAAAATTGAAACATTATGCATATGACTTACTGATGATGCTTTTTTATGATTTCTGAGTAGCATTATGAAGGAAATATCAGAATACGTGTTACTTTCAATAATATATTCATCACCAGCAATATTTTTTTCCACGTATATTTTCTTTAAACAATCTGAACCATAAAAATATATGTTGTTTTCGTGTACTTCATTCGCATAAGAAACCGAAAGATAGAATTTAAATCATTGTCTAAAGATGTAACGTAATTGAAATAATGCAGTTAATTAGTGGATTACGGGATCTAGTAAAGAAATTAACTATTTTGCTTATAAACTCACAATAGCTATTTTGTTGTCTTAGGAATTCACGAAGATAAAGATTTTGAAAAGACTCTAGAAATGTTGGACGAAGACGCCGATGATACTATATTGTTAGATAATCTAGATTTATTGGATAAAACTATTGAAGAAGCCACCTTACCAAAAAGCGGAAATACTGTGACTTCACCATCCACTAAAAACCAGTCATCGGCGGTTACGCCTAAACAAGTTTGTGCCAAAGATAGTGAACCAGCGAAATCTGAAAAAGATGCCAGGAATCTCAAAACAAATATTGTACATGTTATTGATGACACACCCAAAAAAGCAGGAAAACGGCAGAGGAAAACTTCTGAAAGTAGGTCAAATTTGTGTTATATTTTAGATAATTTCAATATCAATACCAACATACTTATTTATGTAGAGATATGCCTTAAAAAAGTTGATCAATCTTCAGCCTAGTAGTTCTTTGACTTTTTTAAGGATCTTTTAAGACCTTTTTTAAGAATCCATAAAAACCGCTTGTGTTTAATGCTTTATGTATAAACTTTTTAGATTTTTTACAAAAGAGTCGGTTAATTTAATTGATTTCACAGCTTGCCAATTCAATTTCAATTTCAATTCTTGACGGATAAAGTTTGGGGCCCTTACAGGAACCGGACCCTGAAACACGCTCTTCATAGTTATCCATCCCTTTAAATACACATACACCTGCAAAATAATCAACTTTTGGACTGACGAATTTTCAAGATTAATCCGCCTATATATAGAATCCCAATATTTAGATTTTAATAGTGAGTTATATTTAATCTATTTATTAGCTAATTCAACACCAAAGAAAAGAGCAAAGTTGGAACACATTGACTCTGGAATCGATCCAGATATTGCGAAAACCGAGAGGAAACGGCAATCTGCCGGATTATATGTTGCTTACCTGCATAGGCCTGGACCAAAGAACCATGGAACAAAAGAATATCCAAAGGTACCGATGATTCCGGAAACGCGGGACCGCTCCAAATAATTAGTGATATTTTACAATTCATGTTTTATTGCTTATTAGGGAACTCCTAACTGTCTCGCTGGATGCATCTTTTTGAGAACAGGTGTATTGGATTCTTTAGAAGGAGAAGAGTTTGAAAATCTAGTTACGGACCATGGAGGCAAAGTAGTTCATTCTGTATCCAGTAAGTATAACGTTGTTTTTATGATAAATATTAATTTGACATAATTTTGAAGAAAAAATTAGTTATGTGGTGGTTGGCGACGAGCCTGGTCCATCCAAATTAGAAAAAGCTAGGAAGTATGGTTTGCCGGAAATATCGGAAGATGATTTCTTGGACTTGATTTTGCGAAAATCAGGAATGAAAGCAAAATATACAGTGAAAAGGGAATGTGATGATTTTGGAGAATCTGGAGAGCAAACAACTGAGATTAATGAAGCTGTTCCAACATCTGATAAAAACAGCACACTTGAAAGCGGAAACCAACCGCTTAAAAACAATGTAGAAGAAATTAATTGTAAACCGAAAGTACAATCTCATAAAGTCAATAATAGTGATAAACCGAGCGCAGATGGAAATCAAGATCTAAGTAATGGTGATAAATCTGAAAACTTAGTACCTAAAAATAAAGTTGTATTAGGTGAGATCGAAGCTGCTTAAAATTCGAAAAATAATGAGGATCTTTTGCAGATTTGCAACAAAAAGAGACTGCCGTGCAAACTCAAGAGTCTGTGAAGTCTCGTTCCATGCCACAGAATATTTCGTCTGAGTGTATGGCATGGACGGATAAATACAAACCCACTAATGTGAATGGTATTATAGGTTAGTATTGGTATGTGCGAGAGTTTTTGCGGTATGGAAATATTTATCCTTAATTTCCAGGACAAAAAGATAGTAATAGTAACATGAACAAGCTTAAAAAATGGCTTCAGAACTGGTTTAAAAATGCAGACCCTGAAATAAGAAAAAAATTACCCAGACCAACTCTTTATCATCAGTATGATGGTGCATACTTTAAAGCAGCTCTTCTGAGTGGTCCCCCCGGAGTCGGTCTGTATTCTTATATATTATGAAAGGCACACTTATAAAAAGTATTTGTTCAGGAAAAACCACAACTGCTACGCTGGTTGCTAAAGAATTGGGATTTGATATTGTGGAATTTAACGCATCAGATACAAGAAGCAAAAAGTTGTTACACGAAGAAATATCACATATGATGAAGTCAAAAACTGTTGCTGGTTTTGTATCAGGTTAGTTCATTTTTTTAGTCAGAGATATTGACTTATGACGTACTTTCTTGATAAAGATAACAGTTCGTTTATTGATAAATTAGCTGTGACGCAATGTATGTAACAAAGAAAATTAGCCTGATCTTCTGATCGTCTTCTGATAATTGGGTTATTATTAAAACTCCTAAAAATTTTTTAAGGAAAATTTAAATTTTTAAAGGAACTGTCGATATACATTTGCTTTTCGATCTCGTCGATTAATTTCTTTGCTACCTCCCTCAAAATCTCTTGCTGGAATATCTTTAAAGACTAACGAGCGAGACGACGCTGCACCGAGTACAAGATTCGAGGTCCGGAAAAAATTCATCAAGGACATTTATGGGGGAATCACACACTTAAACGATACTAAGATTATGAGTGCCAGAACACGACGTGCGTTTTTTTTTTGGATTTTTTTAGAGCATCCTCTGGTGGTCGCGAGTTTGAGACCCTGGTATAAAGTTGGCTGCCAAGGAAATTTAGATAAAACAATACCATTTTAAAGAAATCTAAGTTTTGAAATCAGCGGTTGGTTTTTTAGCCAAAAAAGGTCAAAAAAGTTAACGTGTTCATCGGTGGATTTACCTGTGTATCGATAAATCCACCGATACACAGATACCTTTGCGAAATATTTTTTCGACTGCTTTCGCATCTCATTTGTATACCCGTACACATTCAGTACCCTTAGAAAGCTAATGCGCCTGTACGATACTTTACAAACACGGTACACTTTGCAAACTCAATATTTTTTTATGAAATGATAACTTCTTATCGCATGGTGCAAACCCATCGGAATGCGCTACGGCGCAGTTATGTCTGGCATAGATAAAGACAAGTACCCGGTTCTCTCTCGCACACACACTGCCATCTGCGAACTTTAACATTCTATTAGGCTGGTCGTGTAAGTATCATACTATGTGGACCGTTCGTATGTATATAATAGTGTGTAGTATGTGGGCCGATGTCTTTTTGATGCGTTTTCGTCCTTTCGTCAGAAATCGTGCGGAAAGAAGCTACTGATCTACTTTAGTTGCAAAGTACTGAAGCTCGTCCACAATAATAATAGATGATTTTCTTTTGGAAAATAGTTATTTTATGGGAAGACGAGTATAGTTAAAGAGAAAAAAACCTATTGGGTGGCTGATACATTAGCAATCTCCGATACTTCCGAGAACGAGTAATTGAATAATAATTTTATAGTTTGGTTTAGTATTCGTTACTTCGGACTAGTTTAGCCATAATAAGTTTGAATTGAGATAAATACCTTATAAGCGCTAGCAACTGTAGAGAAATAAAGCCCGAAAAAAAACGTTTGTACACCGTATATCCATCTAGCAGACGACGCGGTTGCGAGCTTATGTTTCTAGGAACTTTTTGACTGCAGAATATACAGTTAACATTATGCAATCTAATTGCATGTCACGTTTATTTAATCGCGTCCCCCTGTACATTCAATTTTTGTATTAAAATTACTGAGCTATATCTACTCAGTCGTACTTGGGCTCTTGCTTGCACATTGATGTTTGTGTTTTCAATCTTTATATAGTTTGTTTTAGTACGAAGCTATTATGTTGCAATTCTTTTACTTTCTGAATTGTTTTAGGCCGTAATAACATAAACCAGAAAAGGGTTTTATTAATGGATGAAGTAGATGGCATGGCGGGAAACGAAGATAGGGGCGGTATTGCTGAATTGATTAATTTTATCAAAACGGCAAGTTTTCCAATTATTTGCATGTGTAATAATAGGGACTTACCCAAAATGAGAAGCCTTGTCAATCACTGTTTTGCGTTGAAGTATACCAAACCAAATGTTATGCAAGTTAAGGTAAGTGAAATATACATTTTGTGTTAAAAAGTATATATTACGTATAATAAGTATTCTCAAATCATAATACATGTAAATGTATGTGTGAAAGTATAATCTAAAAACAATTTTGAATATACTTATTATAAGGGTCTAATAATAAAGGGTGCGTTTCAAAAATCTTTATGAATAATACTGCCACTTCTGCTTGTACCAAAAAACAGGAGCAAACGTTTAATGTTTTAATTTGAATAATTGTTTATCTTTGTTGGTTTCGATTCGTCTCAAAATTGTAATAAAGGAATACGATTTTTTACTCAAAGAGATCGGCCCTATTTTAATTATTTTTTTTCTTTTGTATGGAAATGTTTACAAGAATAAAGTGTATTTTAAACTTTTTCACTATTTTTTTTCCAAATCAAATATTTCAAATTAATGATTGGTTCATTATCTAAACGATTGCACAGGCGAGTCTGTAATTCAATTTAAAATGTTGACAAAAATCTGCACTTTGATTCCTGCCTGTAGCTGTAAAACATTTAATCCAAATGTGAATACTTGAAGCACGAGTGATTTTTTCAGGTACAATCTTAGATAAATCAGTAAACAATAAATAGCTCAGATAAATCAAAAGTTTCCTTACTTGATTCCAGAAATAACTATCAATAGTATCAAAGCATTTTCTCGGGAAACAAGCGAATGACTCGTAAATCGATACGAACAATACAAAAAATAAAATAATGAGAATTATGTAACATGATAAAATAATTTTCTACTGTTTATTAGCGCAAAAGTGTCTTTATTAAGACCTTAATTTATTGCATGGGTTGATATTAGTAATGTAACATTAGACAGAATGCCTTACGATGCATTATTAATTTTCGGTTTATTTCTCCATAACTTTAAAATATTTGCAAAACCAGATTCTGATGAGGTACTTTGTATATAAATATGCGTGATTTTTACCTTTACCCTATGACCCCATTTGAAAAGAAATAACACCGCTAAAGTATAAGCTTAGTTTGATTTATAGTTTAGGCACTCTGTACATTAGAGACAGAAGTTTACCTGCAAATTTCTTTAATCTTGTGGCTTCGTACACGCACATTTTGAAAGATTAACATAAGATGCACTTTACGACTTGACAATTGTTTATATCAATCAGTAAAAAAGTAACATTTTATAAAAACATCCAATGGTAAATATGGTGATATGCGTTTTTGAAACTGACTAATGTAGAAAAACATTAGTGTCCTTCTTTGTAAACTCTGCTAGGGATTTCAGCTGTGTTACCGTGTAGGTATAAGTTGATTTTTCCTTTTCGCCTGAGAGGAATATATATATTTTTTTATTTTATAGGGAGCAATGATGTCGATTTGCTTCAAGGAAGGTCTTTCCATTGAATCCGAAGCTTTGAGTCGCCTGATTACGGGAACTGGATGTGATATCCGACAAACCATTAACCATTTGGCAATGTGGTCGGCTACAGAAAAAGCTCTCACCACTGAAAAGGTGACAAAGGACTCGAAAAACTCGCAAAAAGATGTGGTATTTGGCGCTTGGGATGTCATCAGAAAAGTTTTTAACAAAAGCGAAAATGAAAACATGAGTTTATTGGACAAGTCGCGATTATTCTTTTATGACTATAGTTTTGGACCGATGTTTGTCCAGGAAAATTATTTGACTGTTCAGCCCGAATGCACCGGGTAAATACCATTATATATGAGCAATACATTTATTTTCAGATATGTTTTTAGATCCAAAGGGAAAAAAATCGAAACTCTTATACGACGCCACTTAACCGCAGATTGCTTGAGCAGAAGTGATCTTATAGAATCGAAAATCAGAAGTACTAATAACTGGTCTCTTCTGGAAAGCCAGGCATTTCTGTGTACCGTAATGCCAAGTTACTATTTGTCAGGGAAGATGGAGCAAGTGCGTTTTCCGAGCTGGTTCGGTAAAAACTCACAAAGGAATAAGAGTTTAAGAATCGCTGGCGAATTTTATTCGCATGCGAGGACAAGGTATGAGTAAATATTTGTAATCAACTCTTTACTATTTCACAATTTCGAAATTGAGTAAGATGTTTTGTTTTTTGATAGAACTATAAAAAATAGATCTTGCAATTTTTGGGCTAAATTATTCATAGCGGATGGGATTATAAAGTAAGATTTGTGGTAGGTGGGCCAAATTGGACATATTTGATGGAACCACCGTTTGTATTGGACGAAATAAAAACTGAGCTCATCTTATAAAAAGAGTCGATAAGCGTGTGGAGGGCACTTAAAGTTTAATTTTACGCAACCGCTTGTAGTAGCAAAAAATCAAGAGCTATTTTTTATTTGTAATAAAACAAGAAATTTGAAAAGTTTTTGTAATAATTAAAGAATACAGTGGCGTACCATTTTTTTTTCTTCTCAATTTCGCTGGCAAGCTTTGGTTGGTGGTAGGCCGCTGGCAAAATTTATTAACTGTATTTTATTGCAAAACATACTTCTTCCCCAGCTATTGATTTTGCGCAACCGCTTGTCGCAATTGATTTCTGGGAAATTTCGTAAAAATTCTGCATGCGTTTTGAAGAAATTTACCATTTATCACTTTTTAATTTAAAGTTCAACACTCAATCCGTAACGAATCATTTTGGGTTGTCGTTTATATAGCAAAGTAGTCACATTTTCGGACCTAGAATACGGGGTTAAAATAATGCCACTTCCTCATGAAACATCTTGTATATGTATTGTAAATAAATACACTGCAACAAATGTAGGCTCTGCTTATTACTGAGCCTACATTTGTTTGATTGATTACATGGTTCCTTGTTTTCTCTTTCAGTATTTCAGCTGATAAAACATCACTCCGTTTAGACTATGCTGAGCCTTTAATGAAGCGACTTATGCGACCGTTAATGCAGAAACAAGCCGCTGGTATTGATGATACTTTGGATGTTATGAAATCCTATAGTTTGCTTAGAGAAGATTTAACTAATCTGTGCGAACTTACGGCTAACTTCACGCCCAATAAGCGCAATCCTTTTGATTGCGTGAATTCCAGCGTAAGAAAAATGCGAACGACTCGAATCAATATACTAATTGAAACTCATTTTGGTAGGTAAAGTCAGCGCTAACCAGGAAATATAACAAGACCGTGACACTGAGTTTTGCTCCACCGAGCGCAGCGAAGAAGAAAAAAGGCGCTAAAGCAGACGAAGATGTTTTTGAGGAAGAAGCATTTTCAGATGAGGAAGCAACTGATGATGAAGTGGGCAGTGATGCTTTGATTAAAGTGAGTTTGTTAGATTATTAAAGTGCGTGCAGCATGATTAACAGTATGCCTTTTTCTACTTTAGGTGAAAGAAAGCAAGAAGGCGAAAGGAAAAAATGTTAAAGGCGATAAGAAAACGGGGAAAGGAAAGAACAAGTAGGGGACCCTAATAATTAACTTTCGTTTCACTTCGGTTTATTTTTTGTCTTTTTATTGACGTCTTATTTGTCTTATTATGAAATGTTTCAGTCATGTTTGACTATTTGATTTACCGCTTTATATACATCTATAAAAATATCAATGTTTATTTATTTGTAGTTACGCTCGTACTCCCGAACCCTTCATTGTATTTCGCCGATGAATTTTACATCGGTGCGAAACTGAGTACCAGGTATATACTAGGGTTAAGTGTGGCACAAGATTGGTCGTAAATTGGGTCTGGGAAATATTAATCTTCATTCCAGCCATTTCCGAGGTTAGTTGAAGTCTTTCCAACATTTGCGTGGCTTTGTCCATGCTGGCTGATATTAATACAATATCATCTGCAAATTTCAGATGGTTCAGGTCTTCTCCGTTTGTCATTGTTTATGGTATCGAACCCCTTTTCCTAGTCTACGAATATGAGTGTAAGTGCCTTGTTCTATTCCACACACTTCTGAGATCTGAATGTTTCTCAATTATTAGAGTAAATTTTCCAAATATTTTGTTCTCCCAAATAATTTTTTTTTCCTTAAGAACTAATGGATGTTTTAATGCCTTGTAAATTATAGTTTTTGTACAACATATTTTAATTGTAAATTGGTGTTTTAAATCTGATGATAGCGCTGTTGGCTGGCCGAAACGTAATATGAAGTAAACGACATGCACATTTTTATTTCACATTTTGACTGAAACAAAGGAAAAAAATATAATATTAAAAGTTGTGGGTATGGTTTTAAATATTGAAAGTTTTAAAAATGTATACTATTTTCATATCCGTTGAATGTTTTCTATCACTATGCAATCGGTAGTGAACACACCCTGTAGTTGAAACGAATTGTGAAAATATTTATTTATTTTAAGAGGCATATAAGTACGCACAGAGCGGCACAGTTTGCAAAAGAAATAAATTACTTGAACTTATTTTTCTTATTTACTTGGGGGATTATATTATTATATAATTAAAAACGTACAAAATTTGAGCCCTAGGGAAGATGAGTGGCTGACTTAGTTGAAGTTACTCTTGAAAACTGGTTGTTTTGCCATACGACAGTTACCTTTCCATGAAGAAACTCAGTATTTTAAGCTTCTAGATCTTGTCAAAATTGTAAAAGCTGCTGTTTTTTTCAATGTTACATTATCTTAATGTTAAAGTCAACTTTTCTTCAATTGGATCCAGATTTTCTTATCGCTTTTGCTATAAGCGATAGAACAAAATCAAAGTGATCAGTGTTTAACCGAAAGAATTATCTGAACTTGTTCTCATATAGTTTGAAACAGTAATTTCTAAGACGATTGAAATAGCTTTCTTCTGGACG